TTTTGGCAAACGGATTGACTGTGGGGTGTAGAGGTTCGATAAGGAGGGGTTTCTCGAATCTCAAATTCCAAGAGGGTGAAAACGCCCCTCAAATATCACAATATTTGTTATTTAAAAAACGGTTAGTCTTTCGGGAAAATGCTTGGACAAGCATAATTTATTTGTTTTTTTACATATTTTGAAATTTTCTAAAAAATCATACAGGGTGTTCCAAAAAGTTGGGTAATTTCTTAACCACGATTCTGCTTAAACTGTTTGACGTACAAAGCTTATTTTTGGCAAACGGATTTTTCGAAAGTCAAATTCCAACGAGATGAAACTACCCCTCAAATATTACCAAGTTATATAATAATATCGCCATATTGTTTTTTCTCATGCTGACATAAATGTGAGAAAATTTTATCCGGTTTGTATGTTAATGGAAATTCTTGCTTTGCTTTATCATCACCATTACAAATGATTAACGCGAACGAAGTCGCTGGTACACGCTAGTGTATTTTTATATTTAGTCCTATTTCCTTGATTTTTGAGCAAACTGTATATAAATACATATACCTAGAGAGTTGTTCACCACATACGACACGGAGTATTTTAGCTAAACGATGAGATTTTTACAAATTGTAATTTTGGGGTTCGTTGAAGGACTATTAGAGCTACAATTTAAAAATATTTTTACAAGATACAGAGTGTCCCAAATAAATGAAAATATCAAAGTTGTATTTTTTTAAATGGAACACTATGTATATTATTACATTTTTAGTTTCTACGATTAAAATAAAGGTAAATTTGATTAAGGTTTATTATACTTAAACCTTACCGTTTGTGAAATATTTTCAATTTTGTGAAATTGCAGTAAAAATTTTAAAGCTTCATTTCTCCAAGGGTATCAATGTTTTTAATACTAAATATTAAATGAAGTTTATTTATTGTTCGGTTATTGTGTTGCAATAATAAAAATAATACTTCTTAAATAATCTTATACAGAGTGTCTAAAAATTTATTTTAAATAATTATTAGCTTCAAACGGCAATAACTTCTTTAATTTAAATGGAATGCCCTGTATATTTTAGGAGAATCAGATGTACAATTAAATTGTCTATCAAATTGTATTATACCATTTTTTACTTATCCCTTCAAGTTTTCGTAGAAAATGCATTTTCTTATAATTTAGACTTCATTTATCAATATATCCATGGAATATTGACATTTTAGATTGTTTTTAAAGCAACAAATGTACAAAATGTGCAGACTAGTAATATTATCGTTTTTAGCAAAACGATAATATTACTAGTCCATTTGTATGCAAAAAGAAAACTATTTAAATCTTTATAAAAGAGTATACCATTAATTAAATATAACACCATTATTTCCGCCCATATACTAATTAATTACATACTTAATTGTGTTTGTTAAAAAATTATTATAAATAAATGTGGATTTGAGCCAGAAATCAATATAATAATAAGTTATCAAATTAAAGTCTCTGTTGTTATAAATATGCATTTATTAAAAAATGAAATATCATTTTTAAGGTGTTACTTTTTTTCACACTGTCTAATGCCCATACAAAATTCAGTTTTTTAGCATTTGGAGCAATTATTATTAATCAACGCACACAGTCAGTTAATGTAGTTTGAATACTGGAATCATATTAATTTGTCCTCTTTAACAAATATTTAAACAGTTTTTTTTTATTTTTTTAATGAAATAAACGAATTATATCGACAATATTAGTATCTGTACACTTTAAAAATTTTGTACATCTTTAAAAATAATCTAAAATGTCAATAGTCCATGGTTATATTGATAAATAAGTTCTAAATTACAAGAAAATGCATTTTCTACGGAAACTTAAAGAAATAGGTAAAAAATGGTATAATATAATTTGATAGACAATTAAATTGTGCATCTGATTCTCGTAAAATATACAGGGTGTTCTATTTAAATTAAACAAGTTATTGCCGTTTGAAGCTAACAATTATTTAAAATAAATTTTTAGACACTCTGTATAAGGTAGTATTATTTTTATTATTGCAACACAATAACTGATCAGTAAATAAACTTCAGTAAATATTTAGTATTAAAAACTTTGATACCCTCGGAGAAATGAAGCCTTAAAATTTTTACTGCAATTTCACAAAATTGAAAATATTTCAAAAACGGTAAGGTTTAAGTATAATAAATCTTAATCAAATTTACCTTTATTTTAATCGTAGAAACTAAAAATGTAATAATATACAGAGTGTTCCGTTAAAAAAAATACAACTTTGATATTTTTTACTTATTTGGGACACTCTGTATCTTGTAAAATTATTTTTAAATTGTACCTCTAATAGTCCTTCATCGAACCCAAAACTTACAATTTGTAAAAATCTCATTGTTTAGCTACAATACTCCGTGTCGTATGTGGTGAACAACCCTGTATATCTACTTTAATTCGTAAATTCATTTTATTATAAACTTTAGCATTAGGCTTATTATACAGGGTTAATCAAAGAGTTGTTTTATACCCTATATTTAAAACACCCTCTGCAATAATTTCGTGAGCAAATTTTCCTAAAACATTATTTTTCGTTCAGAACCGTATCTCCTGAATATTTTGTTTTCTGGCTCATGTCAACAATATGCCTTGGTTAAATTTTAATGGCAAAATGAGCTTGCCACATACATTTTTCAATTTTTTCAATTAATGTTACTTTTTGATGTTATTATTTATAATGACGAGGTGGCTTTGGTGATCATTTGTTTTGTACGATTGAATATTGTTCTTAGTAACGAAAATTATGCAAAACTCATTGATCTTGTCGAAGATGGCTAAAATTATCAATATTCGCTTGGCCCTTGAAGAACAATGGTAAAACATAACGCAATATATTTGCAGCATTCCAGTCGATTCTAGTAAAAATTCAAATTTTTATATGACGATTTTATACTTTATTTATGGTAATTATACTAAGGGTCGGCATTTCTGGTCTTGGGTGCCGGTTTTCATGTGTACCAAGAGTACGGTCAACACGCTTAGTAAAATAAGATGTACTGAATAAAGACAGAAGGCGAGTATTTTCCAAGCGCATGGAATGTAGCGTCAGATTAAGTAGTTATGTAATAAATACCTCGTATTTTTGCTCACTCCGACTTACTAGATTGCCATAACCACTCACTCCTATACATGTAAACGCCGACCCAAAGGTTTGCTTGCCAACGGGGTATGATAGTTCTTATATTTATGGTAGTTATGATGGTTATTTTATAATCTATTTATGGTAGTTATGATGGTTATTTTATAATCTATTTCTGGTAGGTATGTTACCTGTTATTACCTTTGAGTGTCGATGGTAAAAACTAAAAAAGAGCATATTTAAAGTTACTTTTTGATCTACCCTGTATAATCTTTCTTTTTTTTTCTTTTACAATCTGTGAAAACTATACTAATTACCCTAATTATAATATAGTGATAAATCATACTTATAGCCACATAGGTATAGACATTTTTTATACTTATAATTATGTAGTTTTTTGAAGCATAAAATTTATAGCAATGTTAAAGAGAGGCATTATAAATAATCACCCTGTACCTTTTAGTATTTAACCCCCTGTTATTTTTTTGATTAAATTAGTTTTTTTAGTTGAATTGTAGTCATGTACTCAAAGACAACTGTATTTTGTATATTATATTTAATTTCATCTTTTAGAATATATATTTTACTAAGAAATTTTAAAATTCACACCCTATGTATTGAAATAAATACCTGGCAGTAGCGTTAAAAAATTAAATATTTAAGTTTAACATAAATAAATCATTTGTTTTCAAGTATTAAGAACAATACTATTTTTGTCCTTTATTCCCTATCCTAATGCAACACTGTGCGACGTCTATAGACAGTTATCAATCGGGGGAGGCAATACAAAGTATTATAGTATTTTTTACAAGTTTTTTTTTGTTTGTTTACTTATTTATTATAGTTATTTTTTATTTAATATCCTTGGTTGTTAGTTTTATACTAATATTTATTAAAACCAAGCCTGTACCGTTACTTTTTAACGTTTTTTAAATTTTATTATAGAATACTAATTAATGACAATATGACATTAGAAAATAATCACCAAATCCACCTCGTGATATTAAAAAATAACATCATAACAGTTAAAAAAATTGCAAATTGTTGGTGGCCAGTTCATAAAAATTAACCAAGGCATGTGTTAACATGAGTCAAAAAACAAAATGCTAGGAGACATGGTTTTGGTCGAAAAATAATGTTTTAGGAAAAATTACTCACAAAATTATTGCAAAGGGTGTTTTAAATTTATGTTAAAAAACAACCCTTCAATTAACCCTGTATAATAAGCCAAATACCAAAGTATATAAAAAAACTGAGTTAATGAATTAAAGTTGATAAATTTATATTATACAATTTGCTAAAAAAATAATGAAAATAGGGCTAAAAGTTAAAAAAAATGTAACAATTTTTTTGCATATGAATGTGTTTATAGAGCTACAAAATATAATGGATATACAATATAAATTTGTGAACCAGTTATACTGGGGGTTATACAGTGTGTCCCAGAAATAAGTGCAAGTATTTTAAGGGGTAGATCTTGATAAAAGAAACCTATTTTCTGTTTATCGTTTTTCAAATAAGTCCAAAATAACGGAGTTAATTCACTTTGAAAATTTCCAAAAAGAAAGATTTTTTGCTAAAATTTTGAAAACTACTGGATCTTTTCTGGATTTTCTTTCTTGTAAATTTAGTCTACTACCTATGTTGTCAGATTATAAAGAAATTATTTTTTTTAAATAAAAACTAAAAAAAATACTAAAAAAATTGTTAAAAAATTCCGAATTTACTAGGCGTGTTTCTGGGGTTGAAATATACTACCAGTTAAAATACTTGCACTTATTTCTGGAACACCCTGTATATTAGGGGCTGTTCTAGTGGAGAATTACTGCTTATTATGCTAAATAATTTATGTTTCAATTTAAGAAATAAAAATCGACTTACCACATATCCTATGGGAGCAACTACGTTTGGACAGGCAGCTGACCATTTAATGTCAATACAGGGTTGCACTTTTGGCTCAAAGTCTACCTAAGCAAATAGAAAATAACACTGTAATAATAATTTTCCCATTTTCAAAAAATACCGCCCCAAAATTTCATATTTTTGCAATAGATTTTTTAGAAAACTTAAATACATCCAGAGATCCATTTATCCAGTTTACATACGTTTATTATACATCCAGTTTAAGATTTTAAAACCGCAAAAAATATCGACCAACGACGAAAGAGAGTTTCATTTTAAACAAGCAGTGATTCTCTATCCCCACATCTACTTGAGCCAAATAAAATGAACTTTTCCTAGCTGCAGAGAATGGAACATGCCGGTCAAAGAGTCTATGTTCTCTATCTCCCTAACGGCAAGTCGCCAACTCATCGATTTTGCATTAGAGGCAGTTTAAGGGCTCCTCCCTCATCCCCAACTTTACCGGGACTCTCCCTGGGGCTAAAATACGATCATATGCGACAGAAGCAGGGCTGAAATGTGATTGGTATAGTCGAGCAGAGCGATTTAGCATACCTTAGTTCACTTAAGACGGTACACCGACGATTTAAACTATGATTTTGGTAGTTTTGAGTGGTCTGAACCGTAAAATACAGAGACACTCTCCAACATTGTATTATTGAAGGGAACATAAATTATTAAATGCCATTAATCTAAGGAAAATCTACAAAGTGTCTCTTAGTGTTAAGTAACTGCATGTATTTTAACTAGTAGCACAGTTCCACCCTCGGTTCCACCTGAGAAACAGGTCCACGAGTTAATATTTTTAATACATTTTAAGAAAAAATAACTTTTTTAAAAACAAGCTTTATTTAAATACACTAAAAAGAAAAAATACAGCTTTTTCTTTAAAACTTTAATTATGAACTTATAAACGTCATTATACAATTTTAATATTATATAAAAGCTTGTCGCGAGATTTGAATCTACAGTTGCACACATAAAAATCTGGTACGACAACTTGTAATTCCTGGTCTAGTGGTCTATCATAACAAAAACTTTCAAAATGAGACAGGGTAGACCCAGGTTTTAGATTGTCATGTATATTGTATATACTTCAGGTATCAGGTATATTATTTATGTCACTCATCAATCAAAACACATCTAATAGTCTAGGAGATGAGTATTTTTTAGCTTTGTACACTGACAAGCATTAACAACTCAGACAATTTGTGGATGTAAACGTACCAAAATTTTGTTAGTTTTAATCTCGGTTTTAATGCATTGAAAATATGGTATGTCAAAATTGTGTACTTACTGGTATGTATTTGATCCAGTAATTTAATTTACTTGTTTATCGATGTAGAGAAATCTCGCGACAAGCTTATATATAATATTAAAATTGTGTAATGACGTTAAAAGTTCATAATAAAAGTTTTAAAGAAAAAGTTTATTTTTTTCTTTTTAGTGTATTTAAATAAAGCTTGTTTTAAAAAAGTTTTTTTTTTATTTATTTTTTACTTTTTAGTTATGCTGGTTTCTCAGTCTTTATGACCTTAATATATTATAATCGAGGACTACAAAAACCCCGGAACACCAAAATTTTAACAGTAACAGCTGTCAACTTTGACAGCTCTCGAACTCACACACGCCACACACCATGCCCTAGACACTCAATGGTAATTTTATAGAATTACAAATATAGTTTCTTCCGCATCGCCAGACGGCGCAAAAGATATTAAAGTACAGGTTTCTAATTTATATATGAAGATGACATGACAATCTCTATGTTAAGTACTGTCTATGGTCTAGTTTTTGTTTAGTTGACAAAATGTTGGTGATCCGTCAAGTTATTTTTAAATCATTATTTAAATAATTATTAATTCAGATATTCCTGATTTGTAGGAAAGTTCAGTGATTTGTATTTATAGTTTGTGTTTTTATTGGTTTGTGCGTTCTGATATTTACAGCCGATCATCATTTTCGTGTTAGATACTAAACTTTTTTATTAAAGTCATTTTGACAATTTAGAAATGATAAATTTATGAACCAAATAAAAAAATAAATCAAAAATAAGTAAGTACATAGTTGGTAATATATAGTATTTTTAGTAGTACAGTTAATTAGTAGTCTATAATATGTTTACTATGTATATTATAATTTAGTTGTTAAATTAAAAAAAAAAAATAGGCGCTATGTGATCTATTGTTGGTGTTTAAAATGTACCTATGTATTCATAATTTTAATTTTGTTTTAATTATTTTACACTTCTAATGATCTAATAAAACATAAAATGTAGTAAAAAACTATATATTTATTATTTTATATTTTACAAGGAATAATTTTGCGCTTGAATAACGTTACCGTTTTAGTTAGCGTTAATAAATAACGGAACGCTAAAATTATGTTACGCCAAAACTCTCCATTAGTTTCTTCCGGATTACCAGGTGGCTCTAAATGACGGACCCATTTGTTTTATATCAGTGTCCAATCTATCTCTAGTACGTGACTTTAGTCTATGCCACACACTTAAACTCAATTTATTTTCTTAAATAACTTCCTATGGGCATCCTAATAATATGTATATCGATTTGCATTAAAAAAAGAGACACAGCTGTCAAATTTCATAGTTCAAATGTGAGACAAATAAAATGAAAACCGACTATGGGGTAAGTCCAATATATCGATTTTTATCATAATAGGTTGACTTTGAAATTTTGACATGTCATTAAACTGTCATTTTTTCAAGATGGCCGCCTATATATTTTTTTTCATATGTATATACCGACAATATACCTATATATATATAATTTCAACTCGATCCATTCATAAATAGAATTTTAAAAAATCAGAAACCTCAAAAATGCAGCCATTTTGGCCGCCATTTTGACATCTGTCAAAAATTCGGGTCATGCCTTCCAAAAAATTGTATTGTCATCGGGACTGAACCTACATGCCAAATTTCAATTTCCTACAATGAAAGGAGTGGTTCTAATTTAGCTTACAAGATTTGCCCCGAACAAACATACACACATAGATTGATAGTTACATACAAAGCAATTTAAATAAAACCTTTTAATTTTCATTGTTATTTTGTTGAAAAAAAAACAGTTTAGTTCAGATTCATTCAGAAATTTATTTGCCTCGCAGCACTGCAATATTGCCATCTCCAACCTTACCCATTTTCTGCATATTCGTGTGTTTATAATTCACAATAATTTTAATTTTATTCGCAATAATTATGCAGGGTTGTTCACCACATACGACACCGAGTATTAATAATTGTAGCTAAACGATTAGCTTTTACAAATTGTAAGTTTTATGTTCGTTGAAGGACTATTAGAGCTACAATTTAAAAATATTTTTACAAGATACAGAGTGTCCTAAATGAATAAAAAAATATTAAAGTTGTATTTTTTAAGTGGAACACCCTATATATTATTACATTTTTAGTTTCTACGATTAAAATAAAGGTAAATTTGATTAAGGTTTACCGCATTTTAATCTTACCGTTTTTGAAATATTTACGTTTTTGTGAAAATACAGTAAAATTTTAATGTTTCATTTCTCTAGGCGCATTTAAGTTTTTTAAACCCAAATATTGTAATGAACTTTTTCTATTTACTAAATTTTGTGCTGCAATAATAAAAATTATACTACCTTAGACAGGGGAGAAATTTTATTTTAAATAATTACTTGCTTTAAACGGCAACAACTTCTTTAATTTAAATGGAACATCCTGTATATTTTACGAGAATCAGATGCACAATTTAATTGTCTATCAAATTGTATTATACCATTTTTTACTTATCTCTTCAAGTTTTCGTAGAAAATACATTTTCTTAATTTAAATTTCGCGCTGGGGATTCAGGTGGTAAATCTGATGCTGTCAAAAATCAATCGTGGAAATGGACAATTATTTTTATTTTTAAATTATGGAAAAACGTCAGACTCTAATCCATTTTAATTGTGTAGAAGAGATAAAACAAATTAAAATAAATTTATAAAATACTATAAGCGATACCAATTAAACTTTTAATTACGTAGTCGAGGGCGCGCTTTTTAAATTAATTGTTGCCAACCAGGGACATATTCGGCGCCTGGCTGACTAACTGGAATTTAAATTTCCCGCTGGGGATTCAGGTGGTAACTCTGCTGTAAAAAATGTGAAGTTGCCGCATTTATTTATTTATTTCCTGACATTGTCATTCGTTTTGACACAGTTTTGTATTACAAGTTTTTGGTTTAAATAAGTTGTTTAAGCTTGAAAATTAAATTATTATTAATTGTGCCTGTGTCACTTTTTAAAATCTACCTAGGTCTATATAAATAACGTGGCAAATGGAAGAAATTTGTTATTATAGTATTTTTTAGTCAGTTAACATTTTTTGTATTGCATTTTAATAAATTATTTCCATTATTATTAAACTTATATTTCATTACTAACGTTCCAGCATTAATAAATATCACTATCAATCGCCTTGTATATTATTAATTTTAAAGGTAATTAAAGTTATTTTCTTAGTTAACATTATAAGTTAGTGTATATTAAAAATGTATATGTTTTGTAATAATATACTTAAAACTATTTTAATAGCCAAATGAATAATTAATATAAGTGTATCTAACAAGAAAAGAAGAATAGAAAGAAACACATACTGCATTAATTATACACAGTAAAAAGAATGGGATGCCAATTCAAGTCTTTTTGAATCTGGCAACTGTGCATATTTAGCCGAGCTACAAGGCAGTCGACGAGCCATCGATCCAAAACCGAAAGTTCAAAATTTCTAATTATATTCTGATTATGATATTGTCGCGCCATCTAGTATTCTATTTGTGCAATTTTAACTCTTTCATTTCGAGAATTTTTCTGTTGCGTAGCTAGATATTCTGTGCTACTAGTTATTATTACTATTAGTTCAACCCACAGCAATTTCAAATAAAAAAATAATCGTATTTAAAATAATTACAAAAAAACTAATTTTTAAAAGTGTTAACATCCTGTAACTCCAAAACTATGCATTTCTATACCCATGTTTATAGGAACTTTTTTAATATTTTTTGATGAGGAATGAATGGGTACT